TGAGTAACAGATGTAAGGCACTCTTTAAAAAGTTTAACAAGTTTGCCAATTGTATCCTAACCGAAAATATCTCTTGCCAAATAAATTAACATAATGGTTTAAAAAGGAGAATATTTCTTTTATCCTTTTAATTCCAGTATTAACATAGGGATCTGAAATAAACTCAGAAAGTACTATTTCCTTTTTCTCACACTAGACTATTTATTAAAGGCTGGGAAAGATAGGTCTGAATAAATATAGTCCTGAACATTCTCACACCTCCACTTCCTTGTGAAGTTATAACAAAGACACATTGATTCACAGAGGTAGAGCCTGCTCATCTGTGGGGGAGACAGAGGTTTTAATTGGTCGTGGCTGATAACAGGTTGAAGCCCATTACCACAGCAGTGATTAATTACAGGGGGTTCACAAATTAATGAAATCATGCATTAGGAGACAATAGAGGGGCATTATCTACTGCAGCACGGGGTCTGCCACAACAAACAAACCAGAGGGGGGTCCAGGGGTGGAGCAGCAGCTGGATGAGAGGCCAAAATCCAGCATTTATCAACAAATAATGAATTTTACTAAGGAATGTTTTTGAGGCTAAACACAGATGTGGCCCTAGAATTGCCAGTCTCAGCTCAACAAAAGGTAGACAAATAGATGTTGACCTGAAAAATACTGCTCCATGACATCACAAAGTGGAAGAGAGCATTTTGAGATTTTTGAGATTTTGACCAAGTAACAAAGGATTAATCAAACATATGTGAATAAAACAAAACTGAGCTCCTGGTATGTTTTGATGGTAACAGCATTATAACAGTTATGGTTAATAGTTAAAACGCAAGAATCCATTTTGTGTAATTTTGGAGCTTTATTAAACAATAGGCCTAGCCTAGCCTTATAGTTAAGAGTTAACCCAAGTGCCCACCATTACTCGACTGCAACCTCTACAGCCTTTTTATTGTCATCTTTGCTATTTCCACACAAAGTCTAGATCCAGTACAAATATGGCTGACAGATAGAGCAGGTCTTTGGTGGCAGCTGTGACTCAGAAATGTCAGCTGCTCCACCACCTGGACGACCAGCTTAAATAAACACTCTCTACATTACCACCGGAGTCTCTTTGAATACAGTGCTCAGCCACGTTCACAGACAAACAGAAACCAGAGCGACTCTCCTCTTCAGTCTTTATCAACTAAATGTGTTTTTTTCTTTTGCACTAATGAATGCCTGAAGCCCTGCACAGTGCTCGGTGATACCCGACACCAGCTTTTTCAGACTGCTGCTCTCTCAGATAGAACTGCTTTTGTTGTACATTACAGACACTGCACATTATGCTCCCCTAAACTTAGTGAGGGCAAATTGAGTTTTACAGTACAGCAACTCTTATTCCTGCATCCACTCCACTCTGTGTCATTTTCATCAAATTAAAGGGACATAAGAAAGTCACCACATAATCTTTAAAAGGTGCACCACGTAACTTTTCTGTTGAAGGATCCGTCACCTCCTTGTCTCTACAGAGATTTTATTGCTTGCAGTATGGCTTATCTATCTCTATGGCGGTGAGTAGGTGGGCTAGGCACTAGCTAGGTCAGATTTGTGGAGAGGTAAGACTGCATGTTTTACAAAATAAGATGAATACATTTATTGTGGAACATTCAATGCAAAAGAAAAACATGCCTATGGATATAAGCAAGTGGCAGACAATGGAGATGTTAATGCTTCTGAGTATGGCATTAAAATTCTACCATGTATTCAATTACAAAAAACATGCTTTCTTACTGTTAGCCGGCTCGCCTTCCACAAACCTGACCTGTAAACAAGCAGGTCACAGACCCTCCACAAGGAAGGTTAACTGCAATCTCCATGGTTTGTACAAATGATGTTTTTAATTTAACTAGGGATTCATCTTTAAGCCCTAACTTGTGGTTATAATACAAGTATTAAATAAAAGCTAGCCTGTTCCTATGGTCACATTAAGAAAAGTTTATTTAAAAAACAAACAAAAACAGACAGTGGTATTTCAGAGCTGACTTCATACTTCAGCTCCAAAGCACAACCTTTTACTGTCCCTGATGGCTGCAGAGTTTTAAGGGCCTTTGAGAGCTACTGCTGGACATTATGTGTGGGTGCACTTGTAATTTTATTGTGAAACAGCTTTTTACTTTTGTCTGCTGCATATTTAAACCCAAACTGAAGAATGCGTCGATACAAACCAAAACAGTTGAGTAGACTGGCATAGATGATTATTTTCAATATAACAATGACAATAACAACAACCATGCCTCAGTCACCAGCTCTGCAGTACATAACAGTGCATTTTTCAGGACTATTTCCTGCACAGTTCTTTTGGGTAAATGTTAACATAAATTTTTCATGAAGCTATTACTGATATAGAGCTTTAACTGTCTATAATATGTAGTTCCATATAGTCATTAGAGGCCATTAAAGAAACAGTTGATAAGGACTAAATGTACGCATGCCAATATATCAATAAAAAAATATATTTATGTGGCTTGCTGCTGGTAGCCATAAGAATGGGGAATAGATTCAAATGGATTTTGAATTTCCATAAATTGATTTCCTTAGATAGTCTAAATGCTTGATTGCCTTATGATCCTTTAAGGCTGTTCTATAGGCGCCAGCATTGTGACCTGACAATTTGGATAAACCAAGCTGAAACTTTCCACGTGAGCTCTCTGATAGGGCCAGCCCTGAAGCACCTGTTTTGCAAAGGTGTGTAATGCTCTATTGTGCACACTCACTCTTGCAGCCCGGGATGTGTAGGGGTCATCAAACAAGGCCCATATTTTAGGCTGCCAGATGCGCCAGCAGTGCCGCCCACAGCTCCTGGAGCGGTCTGGACAGTCTTCTATACCAAACCTTCGGGGGACATCCCGGTCTTCTTCGGACTCCTCTGGCTCTGGGGGTTCGAACATCTCTAGCGCCTCTTCTGCGTCACGGTGCTGGCGGTACGTCATCCAGCAGCATGGCTCCACGTCCGTCTCGTCGATGCCCCAAAATGCAAGTTCTTCTTCGAACAGCGGACCGCACACATCCGCAGGACAGTGCAGCTTTCCGGTGCGATAATAGTTCAAGACATATGCAAAAATGCCCGGATGTCTGTCAAAAAAGAACTCTGAGCTTGTAGGTGGCGCTGGCGCATGGTCCGAGTCAATGCTGGCCGGGTCAGGGTCAGCGAGCCAGGCCAGCCGCGTGCCGGGCAGCGTCCTGAGCGTACTCTTGTATGTCTCGTGCCGCGTGCCACCCACGTTGATGATGATTTTATCCGAGTCCTCTCCGCGGTTCATCTCCTCCTTCAGACATGACTTTGATGGAGGTTTGTTGCCGGACTTGCGGCCACGGTAAGAAGACACGCACACTGAGCTGATCATCTGGACCAGAATTTGGACCGGAGACTAGAGTTAGGACAGGGGTGACCCCACAGTGTCCACGCGCCTCAATTTTGTCCACGTTCAGATCAGAGTTCGAACCCTCGCGCCGTTGTGTCCATATTTGGTTAACTATTTTAATCTGAGGAAAAGCAAAGTAAAAACCTCTTATTATTATTAGTGACCTACGTTTTTTTTAGGTTAACAAGTAGAAATCTGGTACTTTAAAGGTGCATAGATCACACTCACTTGTATCATCAGGTGTCATCTCATAAATTTGAATCTGAGTCCCGCGTCTCCTCTCCAAACATGAAGAGTAATTCCACTCGTCTGACCCAAACCCTCAGACATCAACGCTAACTTTTTCCATCAGCTCGCGCGCATAACCATGTCTTTGTGTCCTTATGCCAGACGCTGCTCGTGAGACAGCTGCTCCACAAGTGTCCTCTCCTCTCGATACAACAGCCCCTGGATCTCGGCTGTGCACTTGACAACAGCTCCAGTGTTAACCCTTTGTAGTGTCAGTACCGCGCGCTACTGGTGCTGGAGGCGCGCGAGCCACTCCCTCTGCTCCTCATCATCACCAGCGCCAGACAAAAGTAACAGCATCTATTTTTGTGCGCGACGGAGAGGAGAGCTTCAGCTCAGTCTGTAGCTGTGTGTCGTTATTCCTGAATCCATCACAAAATTAATTATAAGGAGGGCCTTGAAAATAGCGCGCGCTGCGTGCAGCAGCATGCATGTATGTCACCCGCTGACATTTTTCAGCTTTTTTCTTCTGTTTTGTTTGCCAAGGTTAGTTTTGTGATCTCAACAGGTTGCTGCACAGGCTACCATAATTTTACAGGGTGGGAACCAGAGATATACTGCCATCTACTGTATGTTTTCTGAAACAACAAAAATATAAAAATTGAGGCTTTAAATATGCGATACAAATGGACAACACTATGTCAAACCTGATGGGAAAACATTGAATAGGCTAACTGTTTTTGCCCAATAACTTCATAATTTACAGCCCCAGATTCCAAGGTCTTGCTTCTTTTAGGCTAAAAAATGTACAAAACTATTTTGTATATAATATGTATGTATGTGTGTGTGTGTATATATATATATATATATATATATATATATAAGATCTCACTTAATAATAAGCCAGTGTCAGATGCCAAACATCTTGTGTTGCATGGCAGCAGCTCAGGTCTGCCCCCTGTGTTGACACTTGGCACAATCCATTACTTTTGCTGTCAGCTGTCAGTTTTGCAAATCAGCTGCTTTAATTAGTAATTAATTTTCATTCCACATGCTTTCAAAGGGATTATAGAGTACCTTTTACTAGATTTTTTATTTTTTTTCACCTTATTTACATACTTCAATACATTTTTAAGCAATCATTTTAAGGAGACAGTTGTGTTTGTTTACTTTATTATGACAACAGTTCAATTTTACATCAAATATATATATAATATTTATCTACTAAAAAACTTTAGTCCACTTCCTCAATAGTGGGACCTTGTGCGCTGCCTGCAGTTTGAGGGCCACAGTTACCGGGGGACCCTGCAGCCTGGTATAACTTGGTCACAATGGGTTTACACACTTTCTCCAGTTCGTTCTGCTGATGCTCATATTCCTCCTTCTCCGCCAGCTGATTGTTCTCCAGCCATGAGATCGTCTGGTTGCACTTGTCAGTGACCATCTTCTTGTCCTCTTCACTGATCTTCCCTTTAAGGTTCTCATCCTCCACACTGCTCTTCATGTGATACGCATAGGACTCAAGGTTGTTCTTGGCTGCAACCTTGTCCCTCTGCATCTCATCCTCTGCCTTGTATTTCTCTGCATCTTGCACCATTTGCTCAATCTCCTCTTTGCTGAGCCTCCCTTTGTCATTGGTGATTGTGATTTTGTTCTCCTTCCCTGTGCTCTTGTCCACAGCAGACACATTGAGAATGCCATTAGCGTCGATGTCAAATGTTACCTCAATCTGTGGGACTCCTCTTGGGGCTGGTGGGATCCCTGTCAGGTCAAACTTGCCAAGGAGGTTATTGTCTTTAGTCATGGCCCTTTCACCTTCAAAGACCTGGATGAGCACTCCCGGCTGATTATCGGAGTACGTGGAGAAGATCTGGGTTTGTTTGGTGGGGATTGTGGTGTTACGTTTGATCAGTGCGGTCATTACTCCACCTGCTGTCTCAATGCCCAAAGACAGTGGAGCAACATCAAGCAGAAGGAGGTCCTGGACATTCTCAGAGGTGTCCCCCATCAGGATAGCAGCCTGGACCGCAGCTCCATAGGCCACGGCTTCATCCGGGTTGATGCTTTTGTTCAAGTCCCTTCCATTAAAGAAGTCCTGCAGCAGTTTTTGGATTTTGGGAATTCTTGTGGATCCGCCCACCAGGACAATGTCGTTGATCTTGGATTTGTCCAGCTTGGCATCTTGTAAAGCTTTCTCAACAGGGTCTAGTGTGCCCCTGAAGAGGTCTGAGTTTAGTTCTTCAAATCGGGCTCGAGTGATTGAGGTGTAAAAGTCAATTCCCTCATATAGAGAGTCAATTTCGATGCTTGCTTGGGTGCTGGATGATAGAGTCCTCTTGGCGCGTTCACAAGCTGTACGCAGCCTCCTCACCGCTCTCTTGTTTTGGCTGATGTCTTTTTTGTGCTTTCTCTTAAACTCATCAACAAAGTGCTTCACCATGCGATTGTCAAAGTCTTCTCCACCCAAGTGTGTGTCTCCAGCTGTGGCTTTCACCTCAAAAATGCCATCTTCAATTGTCAGAATGGATACGTCAAAAGTGCCACCACCCAGATCAAAGATGAGAACATTTCGCTCCCCTCTTTTTCCCTTGTCTAGACCATATGCAATAGCTGCTGCAGTTGGTTCATTGATGATTCTCAGGACATTCAAACCAGAAATAACTCCTGCATCTTTTGTGGCTTGGCGCTGGGAGTCATTGAAATAAGCAGGGACTGTGATGACTGCATTGGACACTCTTTGCCCCAAATACGCCTCTGCAATTTCCTTCATCTTAACCAAAACCATTGACGAGATTTCTTCTGGATAGAACGCCTTTGTCTCACCTTTGTACTCCACTTGTACTTTGGGCTTGCCACTGTCACTGATCACTTTGAAAGGCCAAAGCTTCATGTCAGCCTGCACAATAGGGTCATCAAATTTTCTCCCGATGAGTCTCTTGGCATCAAAGATGGTGTTAGCCGGGTTCATGGCCACCTGGTTTTTAGCAGCGTCACCAATTAGCCTCTCGGTGTCAGTGAAGGCAACGTAACTGGGGGTGGTGCGGTTGCCCTGGTCATTGGCGATGATCTCCACTTTGCCATGCTGGAAAACGCCCACGCAGGAGTAGGTGGTTCCCAGGTCAATGCCAATGGAAAGGCCTTTAGCAGACATGTTTGTTTATTATTTTCTTATAGACCTAGAAAGGCAAAGAAATTATGAGATATTCTGAAGAGAAATTTAAAACCTGATCCCAACATTGTCCAAAACATCAAGTCTAACCAAAAGATTATTAATAATGACCAAATGTACAGTTGTAATTTTAATAGCCTTAGTTTTGTTTAGAAGGGATCATGTGTAAACATCATGTGTAAAGTTAGTTTTCATCCATTGCCCTTTGCTCTTCACTAAACTGAACTGAATACAGTAGTAAAATACATGTTGAAGCTACCGTTGAGGAAAAATATTTCATATATTGTCTAAATGCTACAACTTTTCTGACAACAAAATAGATATATACTATTAATTTATTACAACTGACAAATGTAAATGTTCTAAGACTATTCTATTTAATGAACAAATCAGTGTTTAAACTTCTATGTAAATCGTGTTTTACAAAATGCCAAAGGTTTATAGTAAGTAATTTTAAGGCATAAGTTATTTAGCAAGTCTATACCATATAAGACAATAACTTGCAGTGATAAGTTTCAATACTCACTTAATGGAGTGATTCTTGTAGATCAGAAGTGCTTGAAAGAAGCTCTCTGCTTCTTCTGTAGTTCTCCCTCTGGAACTGGTCAGTGTTTCTTCTTCTTCTTCTGCCCACACTGACTACAGCTGGCTGCTTATATAGTTACAAGCAAGTTTCCAGAAAGCTCCCACCCCTCACCCCCCTCTGCCTACCCTGTTTGCACCCTGGGCTGACGTCCTGGGACCAGTGAGTGACTCAAATGTTAATATTAGCCGTAGCTGTAACTGGCTTGTGCGAGAGAGTGAGGGAATATTCCAGAACATTGAAGCTGACTATGAGACTGTTACATAGTTCATTCAGAGGGGCATTTGAAACTATTATTATTCTAAACAATGACAAAATATACAGGCCAAATCCTAAAGCTTTGAGTATTAGTAATAATACTACAGCCATGATCTTCATTGGTAAAAGCTTTATTGCACTTTTATTTAAACACAGTTGCATTGTAATCATGTAAAATATTTTCTGTGATCAATACAAGACATTGACAATTGAATGGCAAAGACAAAATCTAGTTAAATTCATTATATTATTTTATGGAAGAGGAAAAATAAAAGTGTGATATCTTCAAAGGAATGTATTAAGGTCAGTGCTGATCATTTGTGTTTAAAGGCACATTCATGCTAAGCCCAAAAGATTATATCCGGTACAGTGTCATAGTTGAGTATAACAAGACGACTCCCTACAAACACTTACCTAAACATGCATTTCTTTCATTGACATTATTATTATTAATGATACACATCCATGCAGAACAGTACATGCCATTACAGAATTGTTGATTCTCTTAGTCTTGTTATGTGAGACAGTTAAACTACTGTGAAAATATCACACGAGTACTTGGCTGGATATTACCTTTTAAGGCCTGCATGCCGATACCGTTCAAATAGATAATTATAAACAAAATATAACAGAGTCTATGCTATGTTTTCTTTAGGCCACATTTTGGCACTGGGTGTCAAAAGTAAACAAATAAAAAGTGGAAAATGTGAAAAAAGCAACTTAAAACATTTACATAGAGCATGCAAGCAGGGTTTACATAGCAGGACATTTAAAATAGTATTGGTTACAGTATGTATATCATATATGATCTATATCTTTAAAATATTATATGTTATATTTAACACCTAAACTGTCATTAATAAGTTACATTCATGTGTAAAATAATCTTTCTTTTGTTCCAGTTTAGAAACTAAAATATATGTCTCTGTTTATCAGCGCTACGAGTGAGAGAACATTTTTCATTAATACCTGTAGAAAAAGAGAGGTACTTTAGTTAGTGTTTGTATTGTAATAGAATAATGGTCATAGGTGTTATATATAGAGTCACCTGTAGTAGTTTGGTTTGAAGGGTCCATTCTTGTTGAGGCCCATGTATTTGGCCTGTTCGTCTGTCAGTTCTGTGAGGTGGGCGTCAAAGTTTGGTAAGTGCAGGCTAGCCACATACTCATCTAAGGGAACAAAAACATCAATCAGTCAATTGACTGGATAGGATGTTTTGGTGGTAAACACAACATATCAAAAGATTTTTAATAATCATATTATATATACACTGGTAAAAAGCTTTACATCCATCATTGTAAGGATGATGGGTAGGTTTGGCCGGAAGGTGGTGACAAAGAGCAATAGCATAAAACAGAATTTCTTCACTCATGAACCCTGCTCTTACCCATTTTCTTGGGCAGCAGATACACATCCTGCTTGTAGCGTCCTTCTGGGGCATTGAAGAGCTCGATCAGAGCCAGCGCCTACAGAGACAGGAGAGGGAAGTGGATGTGAATATGATGACTCATGTTGTGACTAAAAGCTGTGAGTCGCACGTGTGCCCACTGGTGATTGTCACTAACCTGAGTGGTTGCAGTGATGGACAGAACAAAGGTAGGCACTGTAGAACAGCTCAGATTTAGGAGGCGGCCCTGACAAACAAACACAGTTACACAGAAAAGTAATATTAAAATTAATTGTTCACTTGCTGTCACAACAGAACATTTAAACAGGCAACATGGGGACAGTATGAACAACAGAAAATACAGTGTTTGTACTAATGGCCTTTGACTGATTTGTTCTTTATTGGTCAAGCTTCTTTAATACTTTACAAAATGTTAGTTTGGTCAGCTGTAAATGTGTGTTTTCTGATGGGTGTGACTGACAGATAGATTAGCCAATCAGGGACATGCATTGTCTGTGCTGGAAAAAATAAAGGAAAAAAATCACAGGGAACAGGAAAAAAACACCAATTTCTACAGAATTAATGAGCGAAACTGTAAACTCTGTTAATCGGAGGTGAGATAAATTTGATTTTATTTGTAAGTGATAAGTGACCAATGAGCTCCTTTGTTTTACATGCATCACTAAAAAACAAAACAATCTGATCACATTTGACTGGGTTTGAGGCAACAGAAGGCATGGGGACCAGACTAATATTAATCTGTTAAAAATACAGATATATCATTGCCAGGCATGACCTTTTGCCCTGGGGTAAACTATTTGTTAGCAATAGTTTACCTGGGGTGAAATGCCAGTGTTTTCACAGACATACCTCTGCTAGTAGGACCACCCTCTTCCCATCAGGCCAGATGATGTGGTCCACCTGAGAGCGGACTCTCTCCCATGTGAGCTCCGGGCTGCGCAGACTGGCCTAAGGACAGAGTGGTCACGGATCATTCTAAAGTCAATGAAATGTGAAATTCCCAGACAGACAAAACACACAACACTGTCTATGAGTGTTTGCATAGGACACAGATCTGCAGGTCAACAGGCAAACTAATATGACCACTGCTTAAGCTTGACTACACAACAGAAAATGATTGAAGTAAAGGTTCATATTATTAGTAGCAATGAAAGTATATGTAAGAATATTGGTTTCCTCAGATCTCAGAGCATTTGCTTTGTGTGAAATGCTCTAACATGCGATTTACATGTTTTCACTCACCACATCAATTTCAGTGTTTGAGTGTCCCATGTTGCAGACGATGCAGCCATTCTTCATTCTGTCAAGTTGCTCTCTGCTGACTACATTTTTATTACCTTTATTTTAAAAAGAAAAGGGCAAATTATCAATGCCCAAAATATAAATATAAATATTAGTTGTTGGGGGTTTTTTGAGCGAAGTAAGCTTTTGTCCATCTACATCATTATTGTGTGGTGCTGCATTTTGTGCATTACCAGTGCAGGTGATCACCACGTCCATCTGGCGGATGACCTCACTCAGCTTCACCACTCGAAAACCATCCATGCTGTGAGGAAGAGCACATGCGTCACAGGTTTGTAATGCGTTTATGTCTCATTTATCAAAGGGCCAGAAGAGGCTCACCAGGCCTGCAGGGCACAGATTGGGTCGATCTCTGTTATGCACACAATGGCCCCAAGAGCTTTGAGGGCAGTGCAGCAGCCTTTACCTACCTACAGACCACAGTGAGGCAGTCGTACATGAGAGTTAGTGACAGTTAAAAAGAAAATGCATGTTATTTTAATAACTGCTCACCTCTCCATAACCGCACACCACCACCTGTTTACCCCCAAACATTATATCTGTGGTCCTTTTCAGGCTGCAGAGGAAATGAAATACAGAATGACCAATGAGTCTATTTTAAATGGACAGAAGCAAGCCCAATTCATTCATACCCATCCAGGATGGATTCACGGCAGCAGTAGAGGTTGTCAAACTTCTGTTTAGTCACAGAGTCATTCACATTCATTGCTGGAACACACAGCTTTCCAGCTTTAGATAATTGGTACAATCTGATGAGACACAAGGGAGAAGCATAAATGAAACACACACATGCGCATGTAGTGAGCTGGTGTTTTCCAAAGCTAATTGATTCCTCAGAGAGAGCACAGAACTGCAGCAGCAGGTCATGCTGCACAAACACACTTTTCCACTTTGCACTTTTGATTTATGCTTTAATGACCCCTGACCTATGGACTATATTCCACATGAACTTTTCTGTAAGAGTGCAGTCTTAACAATCGGCTCCATCTAGAGGACAAACTATTACTTTCACCTCATGGAAAAATACCTTAAGAGCTTAATCACAAGAACAGCTTAAAGACTTACAAAGTCAAATGCTGGTATTCATGCATAAGTTTTAGAGTAGCAGAACTTGGCTCATTTTAGATTGTTCACCCAGCAGGTGGATAACGATTTAAGCACCTGTGCACTCCAGTGACACTCTCCTCAACGATACCTCGGACCTTCTTGAACGTGTTTGGATACTTCTTATAAACCCAATGTGTTAGGTCTCCACCATCGTCCAAAATCTACAGAAGAACAGGCGGGTATTACTGACTGGAAATGCAAGGTGTAATATAGATAATATAGATAATAGATGGGGTGACCATGAATACCATATTAGCCTGCCAACCATCACTGGTGACACAGCGATCGATGCACCACCAGAAGTCGTCCTCTGACTCTCCTTTCCAGGCAAACACAGGTACTCCTAAGGGACAGCACACAGCAGTGACAGGTTATTTATGTTGGTGTACATAAGAACAGAATAATATGCATAAAAATATATGCATGTGTTAATGTCTGCAGCTGAAGCACTTCACTGTACCGGTCTCTGCCAGAGCAGCGGCCACCTCGTTCTGTGTGGAGTAGATGTTACAGGCTGTCCAGCGACACTGGGCCCCCAGAGCCACCAGGGTTTCAATCAGCACCTGTGAGAGAACACTCAGGTGAGCAGACGCAGAGGGGCACAGCTACAGCACTGTGGACTGAGTGTATTAAACTTACTGCGGTCTGAGCAGTGATGTGGGTACAGCCCACTATCTTAGCCCCTGCCAAAGGTTTCTCCCCCTGGGCTCTCTTCCTCAGGGATATGAGGGCAGACATGTCTGTAGAGACAGTGAAAGAGTGAGGGCCCTAGGGTTACACTGATGAACAATGTGCTGGGTCAACATTGTGACTGTCTACACCAAATGGCTCAAAAACACAGCAATCAAAAACAATGCCATAAGTAGCTGTTTCTCTCGGTCTGAGCCAGAAGAACACTTGTGCAGCTCTCAGGCCTACGTCCCACTCGCATGAGCAAAGTAAACAGACAGAGAGGCTGAGGCAGTACAAAACACAGCGTGAG